ACTTTGGGATTTTCATATCGTTTAAGCATTTCCTTCCTGTTTCGACTGATTCCTTTGCCAGCTTCCTGTTGTTTTCCCATCCCGCTTTTTCAGCCCACCTCCTCCTCTCAGCTCTTTTCGCTTTTCATCCGGAAACTTATCCTCTGCCATGGCAACCATTTAAAAATCGTCCTTGGCCTGCGCTTTTGTTGGCCAAACTGAATCGAGCCATATTGACGAGGCGGCGGATAATTGCCTCGCCTCTCACTCTGGACTCTCAACTTTCGATTTTCCACCTGCATTTCTTTTTTTTTTTTTGTGCAGATTTAAGGGACTTATTATCCTTGCGAGCACACCACTTAACACCTTCCCATTACGGTTATGCAACATTAAGAAGGCAACATCGATTAAGCAATTAAAGTTTGCCGCCTGATCTGCCACAAAAACCATAATCCCTTGATAGGTCGACAGAAAGTAAAATGAAAATGAAAATGAAAATAAATAGTGTCGGCGGAAAAGCACAAACAATTCGAAAGCTGCAAATACACAGCCTTTTTTATCATCAACGATTTTATATTTTTAAGGGTATATATACAGGATATATAGCATATATTTTATAAGCCAATAGCTGTGGGGAATATTTGGGAAAATGTTTAATATTGCAACAGCCAATTAGGCGTGAAATCACCAACGTTTAAACGCATTTTCTTTTGTTGATTTTATAAAATATTTCATGAGGAAAAGTGTGGCTTTTATTTAAATACGTTTTTTAGAAGGTTTTTATAGGCAGAAAATTTTTAAATTTCCAGGAAATTATATTTTAGTTTCAGACAATTTTAAAAGTAAATGCAAGTTTGAGGGTTTCCTCTGCTTTTTTTGTAACCTTTTGTTAATATTAAAAAGCTGAAAATCATAAACATAAAAAACCTTTTCTAAATTTTAAAGTTAAATTTTAAAGTTAAAAAAGAAACCAAAAATTCTTCTCTTTAAACTTCTTTTTTCCCCTTGAATTTCCAATTTTCATAGGCAAGCCAAAGGAAAAAAAATAACAAAGGCCGTGACATATCCTGAAAAGCGCTTGAGTTTCCTCTTCTTTTTTTGTTTTGTTTTTAATTTCTGGATTCTGCCAGTGGAAAACCCTTTGCAGCCATGAAAGTCGATGGCGATTTTCCCCTGAAGTGGCAACCAAAGGGTCCCCACGTTGGCCCATCGACGCCGCATTCCGTTCTGTTATCCATTTTCAGGCCGAAAGGAAAAACGGCGGGATGAAGGCCAGGGATAGAAAATGGGAAAATTCTCAAAAGGGACTGCTGCTAGGATCGGGGATTTGCCCAGTTGACAGCTGTCAAACAATGCTCTTCGCAGTGCGAAACGCATGTGAATGCATTTTAATGGCCCGGCACAATGGGAGACTTTTAGTTTTCCCTCCCCCCTCTATCTCTGTTCCTCTTAGATGCAGATAAGCTTTTTGTTTTTTTTTTTTTGGGGTGGGTGGGGAAAACAGGGATAGCTGAGCGGTCGTAAAGGCGGCAAAAATGCTGCCCCTAGCATGGCGGCGACATTAAAAACCGTTGTCGTAGATGTTTATTTGTCGTAAAGCAAAAGCAAAAGCAAAAGCAAAAACGAGCTCAAATTGCAAGCATTGTACGCAGATGCAGGCTAAGATACGGGAAAATTCCCACACAGACACACACACACACACAGTTACACAAATAGAAAGCTGAAACACACACACATACGCCAAAAAATAGCAAATTCAGCGAAAGTTCTTACTAAGTTGTAGGGCAAAGAAAATCTTATTGGTTTTTCATATCTTTCCAAAGGCATAAAATACGAGTTTCAGGGGAAGAGGTTACGATTTTTCTGATAGTTTTAGTTACTTTTTTTTTACTGATTTTATATTTACAGTTTAGAATATATTTTGACTGATTTTTTAGGAAAATAAACAACTTTGTAGTCGTTTTTAGGTAGGAAAAGTCAAGAGAAATCATATAAGAAGTTTGTCTTAATATTTTTCCTTGATATTTTCACTTTATATTTGCATTTATCAATTAACTTACTAAGACTTTTTGGGTTTCTTCTGAAGAAAGTTAAGCTTAAGTTTCCAAGTCTAAAAAACTTTAAAATATTCCTTAAAAAAGTAACTTTTACTCCACGAAATGGTTTTCTTTGATAGATTTATGGATTTATTCCATTAAACAGACACACTTTCTTGCTTTTCGGTTTTGTATGAAAATAAGTAGAAAAAAAAACTAAAAGTAAGAAAATCTCCATAAAATATTATAAAAACAAACATAATTTCTTATTTTTAAATATTTTTAGCCCTTAAGCCCTTATTAATTTCCCCTAAAAAAAAACACAAATTCCCAATTAATTAACCAATAAATTTATCATCAAACCGGAAAGTATCTTAGAAAGTATCTTAGCTGCCTTTGAAAGTATTGACTTGCTTGGCTTAGGAATTTAACTCGAGAAAGTATCTTAAAGCCGCCGTGAAGCGAATTTTCGTTGAAGGCGGCGACCAACGGCCATGAATATTTATCAAGAAATTATAAGGAGATATTTTATGCCTGTGGTTTTGTCGAATAATTCCAGCATAGTTGGCCGAGATAATCCAGTCATATTCCCCCTTGCCTCTCCTCTAACCTACACCAAATGCCATTAGAAGATTCTTCCCTGCTCCCTCTCCTATCCTCTAACTAACTCTCATTGGAATAATGATGAAGGTAATGAAGGAGCTGATTTATTTGCATTTCAGCCTGATGGACTACCCAGCCAGTCAGTCAGTCAGTCAGCCCTCCTGTTAGCCATCTATCCCACTCGTTTTAGCCATCACAATTAGCCCATAGATTTTAATTATCATAATGATAATTGCCTTATGGCGAGGCGAGTGTTGTCGCAGTTGGTTTAGTTTTTGGGCATATTTAATATTTGATCGTCCTGGCAGGGACGGGAGACTGGGGCCAGGGCTGAGATGTTTTTGCTTTGATGTCGACTCTATCTCTCTTTCTCACTTTCTCCTAATTGGATTGCATCCTTATTAATTAGGCGGTGTCGAGATATGGCAGGATGTGCCACAAAGACGATCTGACAGCTCGTCCTTTAGACGTTCTCTTTCTCGTTCTCTTTCTCTATGCAAATCGAGTCGAAATAACGAAATAACTTAAGGGGGGCCTTAGACAGCGGCAGGGGAGTGGGGGGCGGTGAGGATGTAATTAAAATATGTTGCCAAAGACAAACAACAACAACAAACAACAAGCAAAAGCAGCAAAAGCGAAACTGAAACACGCACAACAAATTGATAAAAATGCAAATTTAATAGACTCGCAAATCAATTTGCATAAATCTTGGCTCGGCTTAAAATAAATAAATAAATTTGCAAATGCAAAATAAATTAAGGGGGTAAACGAGAGGAAAAACGTGAGGAACTCACTAGAGAAAAATTAGAAAGTCAGGAAAAAGATTTAACAAGAAAATCCATTTAAAAAGATAGAAAAAATCAAAAAAATAAAAATCCCTTTGATGGTCATGAAATGGTTCTTAAAAATCTTAAAAAATATATATTTTTAAATTAATGAAAATATTATAAATTAAAATTCATAATTTAAACAAAATTTTAACTAATAAACCCTAATTTTTAAACCTTAAAAAACCTAAACTGGCATTTAGGTTTTCCCCACCAAAAAAAAACAACAGCCAGCCCTGGGCCTGGGACTGGAAAATTGCCGGTGAAAATATGCTAAATGGTTTCTCCTCCAGCCAGAAAATGGAAATAAAACAAAGCAGGGCAACGATAACAAAAACAAAAACAATAACAAATATAAAATAAATAAATAAAAAATGGAAGAAAAAATAAAGCAAGAAAAAACAAGAAAAGCGGGAAAACAACTTGAACATCACGGCGTCGTAACTGGCAATTGACTGCGAACAGTTGTGCATATAAATTGAGGCAGGATTGAGATGCAAGGATACAGAGATACAGATACAGATACACACATATAAAGATACAACAGATATACAGATATATATATATATATAACATAACGAGACAGGGAATGTCAGGGGGGAAAGCGAAATGACAGCCCCCGAAAAACGAGATCAAGATTTGTTTCGTTTCCATTTCCGTGACCATTTTGCAAGCATTTCTCCCTGGTGTTTATCCACCTGCTTCTCCATCACTTTTCCTCGCTTTTCTTTCCTCAGTTTTCCCTTCCGTTGCGCCCTCTCTCTCTCTTTCTCTCCCTCTGTGCGTGTTTATTTGCCTGTACATTATTTGTACACACGATTGCCTTACGCATATTAAAGACGAATTCATAATAAATACACAAAGGCATCGTCCATGGTCGTGGCCATATCTTCCAGCAATAATCTGGTTGCCTGACGAGACTTCCTTTCTTTATAGATAAGAAAGAAAATTCCTTTGTGCTAACACCAAGAAATAAAGGGAAATCAACTCTTTGGGTTGGTTAAACTTCAATTTACAGGTATTTTTTTTGGTTAACTGCCACCTGCCTTGTCTGTCTTGGTAACTTATCTTCGTTTTCAGCTTTTTAATATGAAAAACTGTCGGAATTTCAAGTTAACAGACATGCAAATAGGGCCGTAATGAGTAAAATAATACCCAAAAAAACTGAAATCCATAAAAGTAAGGTGAAACATAATTAGTAATCTGGTTTAAGTTCATTTTAGGAAAATGTTTAACTACAAATTTCCTTTCAAGCCCTTTGCTAAAACTACATTTTCCCCTTCGAAGCACTCTCCTTTCCTTAACTTAAATCACAATTTCTATAAATAAAAGGGATATATATATATATATCTAAAAATATATATAAATCTTTAAGTTTTATTCTCGGTGGACTTGTTGTTGGCCAACTAATTTTGAGACGCCGAGCCGTTCAATTACAAAACTTTTGCCAGCCAAGTTAATAACATTTATCGCTCCCCATAAAATATATATCCTGTTTCTGTGTCCTCTCCATATATATATATATATATATGTGTGTGTGTGTGAGTGTGAGGGTTGTTGTGTGGAAAAGTTGTTGCAACAAGTTTAACCTTTTTTTCCGGTTCGGCAGGGCGACTTCCTTAACCTTGCTTGCCGCTTCCGGTTTCCCGACCAGCGAGCCAACATTGACTTATTCGCCGTACAAATTGAACGAACAGAAGCAGTGAGAGAAAATGTTGATTATTTTTAATATTTAACAAAGATTTTTATACTCCTGTTAAGGGAAAACTGAGATGATTACCAGATTAGGTTAAAAGTTTCTTCTTTTAATTTTTCCAACATTTATTCCCTATAAATGGGGGGGGTTTTCTCTCTCTGCCTATCGATGCCAAAAGCTAGCCTTACTTTGCCTAATAGTTTAGCAATTCCTTTAAGTACTTTTGCGCTCTGTGCCACCGAAGGATCCACTTGAGTGGATCAAGAAGAAGCAAGGAGGAGCAGCTGGCTCACTACCTGTTGACACACTCAACCAGCCAACGTTTACCCTGCGAATCCCCCAAAGGCAATGCCAGTTAACCGCGGCAATCTCTCGAAAATGCATTGCTCAAATTGCATTACAATTTAACGATGGCTTTTCCTTGATTTCCCATTTCCCCTTCCCACTCACCCTCTTCGATAATTCATAAATGCCATTAGATTAATCTCTTCCGATCGAAATATCCGCTGCTTATTTTCACTGAAGGGAAAAGTTTTGCGGGATTTTCTTTAAGAGTAAAGAGAAAGAGGCTGGTATGGTGGGTTAACTTTAGGGATTTTACTAGTATTTAGTTCCATGTCTCAAGTAAGTTTCCTTCTTTAGTAAAATCTTGTCTAAAAGCAGCTTTCTATCAAACAAAAATCCTGACAAACAAAGCCTCTTCTCATACTCGCTAGTTAATATATAGTTTAAAGGACCTCTCCCCATAAAAATGTTTAATTTATGGCTCCTGCCTGATATAACCTTAATCAATGTGGTACTAAAACATCCAGTTAGAGCCCATAAATAATGCCAGACATTCGCTAGTCAAGTCCAAGTCCAAGTCCGCGTCCAAGTCCAAAGAGCCAAATTACCCATAAATAAAATGGGAAAGACGTAGCTTGGAAAATCTGCCCAGCTGGATGGTTCGTTCAACAACTCAACTTGAGTTGAAGAATGTTTTGAAATATTTTGGCATCTAACGGTGTTTTAAAGAGCCCGCAACGATATGCAAATGGTTAAGGGGAAAACCAGGTGAAAAATGTACAAAAAAAATAAGAGAAAAATCGCATGCCTATGCATCGTTCCATTCTGTTTTATGGTTCATAAACTTTCGCTCCTTTGGTGAGTGCTTTTTGCCCTTTTTTTTATGGGGCACGTTGAATAAAAAACTGATTTGTTTTGCTCTCCCGAAAAGCAAAAACTCCCCATCCCGTATAACCTTTAACCTCTCCAACCAACCCCCTTTAACCTTTGATGTTGCCGGCTGTTTTGGCTGATTTCAGCCATTTGTTGCCACCAAAATGTGGCTCAGTTTGGGGAAGGCTAACATATGGCACTCACTTTGGCATAATCAACATCATCATCATCATCAACAGCAGGAGTAGCAGCAGTGCTGCTACCAGAAGTAGCAGTCACAGAGACAGCATCAACATCATCATTATACTGACGAGTTGTTAATGATGAACATAATGACGACACGGAGCGCTTTGGGCCAACAAAGTTGTTAACATAAAATGGCTCGCTGCACACATGTACACCCACAATTTGCTCAGATTTCCCAAGTATTTATGTGTACACACACACACTCAGATACTCGTATGTATATGTTTAACCACTTTCACCTTTTATAGTCCACATCTGTCATTGCAGTCGGTTTCACCGGTGAAAAATGTGAAGGGCATGAAAAATAAAACCAAGTCCAAAACCAAAAGCACAGCACGTGGAGGAAAATTGTGTACATTTTTCGCAAACACATGAAGTTTAAGCCGATTAAATGGGAAATTTAGTTAGAAGTTTGGGAAAGTCTTTAAAATTAAGAGTCTGAAAAGTATCCTAGAAAAGGAAAGAAAGTTAAGATCAACGGACAGATGAAAGGAAAAGCCTTAAACGACCGATCCTATTCAAGAATTTATATACTTTATAGATCAGAAATGCTTTCCTCTACGTGATATAAAACTTTCTGGTTAACAAACTTTCTTAAATATAAAAATCCAAATAGGAAATCCAACCCTTAGTAATGCCTTTAAAACCCTTTAAAAACCCAAAAAAAATTTCTATAGATTTCCATCCAAAGTTCATTCAATCAATCAAATCAAAATTCTCAACTAATTTTCTTTCTCTGCATCAATTTCCCGGCCAACAACTTGCAGTCAAAAAAAAATATAAAAAAAAAAAAAGAAGGAAAATAAAATGTGAAAATTTCATTAGATTTTGCATTTGAAGAAGGTAACAACCAGTGGATGAGAGCCAAAAAAAAAAGAAATGAATAAAAAATATAAATACGGCCAAGAGAGATTGAGGGGTTGTTTCGCCTCAAACTTTTCTTTTTTTTTTTCCCCCCTCCCCAACTGGCTGGGGTGTATTCTGGGTAAACTTTTCATGTTTTTCCATTGGGTTTCGGGTATTTCCATGCCGGCCGCGGGCGATGGATGATTCTGATTTCTGATTTTGAGCCCATGTTGCTGTGGGTAACTTTCGGCATACGCCGTCAACCGGTCGTATGAGCAATGTAAACAACTTTCCCTCCCTCTATTTCGACTTTTCCCTACCAACTGGCTTTTCCATGATGAGAAGCAGGCGTTTCCCTAGCTGTTTTTTTTGGTTAGTATCCCAAAACGGATATAGACACAGTTTATTTCCAAATCTACATCCAAATAAAAGAGTTTTTTGTTAGAAAAATAACAAGAAAAATTATAGTAATGCCAGCTCTAGTGATTTCCTTCTTTAACAGATTTTGCCCCTCAAAGAGACTGCGTCATTTGCTGGTGAAGCGCCGAAAATACTTGAGGAAGTTCATCCAGATAGAGTGTCTAGCTCATGGTGGAAAACCCATTAGCCAGACTAAGAGAAATCTCCTCACAAAACATGTGATTGGCTTCCTTGAGTTGAATTTCAAGAGAGATCTGCCAACGAAAACCATAGAGATCACGGCCACTCTACCAAATCCTCAACTGCCCCCTAAAAGGGATGTGGAATACGAGTATGAGAATCTCTTCGAGGTATTCGTGTGCAACAGCCATGGAAATTTGCTGACCAAAATTCCCTTCATGGAGAGTGACTATCGACGTGCAACCCGTAAGGCCATCAAGGCGGTGCGCTTTATGGATTCCTGATTTCTGAGAAGTAGGTGGATGGAACATTTTTGCCTACTTACATCCAAACATGTCAGAATTCATTTGCCATTTTCCAAGCAAGGAGGAAACAGGACGCCCAAATATCGATTACCTGCTACATCTACATTTTCACTTTTCCTGGTCTCTTTAATTGGTAGCTGAAGTTAATTAAGTTGAAGCTGTAAACTGATACTTTGGCTTCACTAAATTTATTGTTAATTCATTAAAATTTATACAAGGAAAATCTCTGTATTTTCCAAGCTTATATTTTGTATAGCTTTTCTTCTGGCAAAGGTAAATGTCATTTGCAAGGCTTGGCAAGGAAAAAACAAATCAAATATGTAGAGAAAATCTAAGCTCAAGTTATTGACATGAAATTAGCAATCAAGGAGCTATGCAAACTTTTCTTCAATCAATGTTGACAGATTCTTGGCTTTTCATTTCAAATGAACATTTTCCAAGCGAATTTTGGGAAACTCTTCTAATTAAATACACATATTTGTGATTGTATTTAAGAGGAAAATGTAGGGAAAATATTTAAATTAAAAACTTTAAGGATGGATGCCTTTCTTCTTTTCATATAAGACAGCCTTTTCCCCTAGAAGCTGTTTAAAAACCAACAAATTCAAAATGCCAAGTCATAAGATTAACCACTTTAATAATCCCTCGTAAGCGATAATTGCAATTTTAGGGGATCTGCGGTTTTTTTCTTTTGGTATGTGTAAAAGAAAAGGGAGAGGAGCTGCGACCTAAGCAGCCCAATAATTCCGACCATATATCCACTTATCACGCGCACACAAACATAAACACACATGCAAATAAGTGTGTGTGTGTGTATACTGCATATAAGACGACAAGGACCCCGAAAGAACATGCTATCAATTTTATTTTTATTTATTTTAACCTCCCACCAAAGCACCCATTTTCCCTCGCATTTGTTTGCTTTTGGCTCAGCCTGAGCATATTTTGTAGCTCGTAAAAGTTTTTGATATAAAATGTAAACAAAGGCGAAATGGGACACGGAAAACACACAGCCGCCCAAAAATCACTGAGGGAAATTGTTTCGTAATAAAGTTGGAAAAGGTTTTAAATGGAAATACTTCTGTGATGGAATTTGATAAAGTTGCTTGGGGGAAGATTTTTACACTAAACTTTAGGGGAAATACAATTAGAACTCGTTTTTCTTACTACCCTTTAAACTAACGTCTACGTTTACTAACTAATATGTGTTTTTCATAGGAAAATAGGGAAAATCCCATTTACATTGAGTATGGTTTAGTTTTGCTTAGGCAAATAACTAAAAATTCTTTATGCTTTTGATTTTTTTGATATCAATACCCATATAGAAAAAGGAAACTTACAATTTTCCATATTTTTTGAGCTTTTTAGTAGGATTGGTTGATTGTAGAGTTTGATTGTTGATATTTCTGATGAGTAAAAAGATTTCTGCTTCTCCCGAGGAGCTTGGCAGAGCTTGGCTTTTCCATTTTCCAGTTTGATTTTTGATATTTCCAATGAGTAAAAAGATTTCCTCTTGTCCCGCGGAGATTGGTAGAACTTTGCTTTGATTGCTGATATTTCTGATGAGTGAAAACATTTCCTGTTGTCCCGCGGAGATTCATTTGTGTTTTTAAATAAGACAAAAACAAAATAAGCCTTTTAAACAATACAAATACTTATTGGCCACTTACCTCGACTCTCCTTATTATTAAAGGTTCTTATAGAGACTTTTAAGATTCAAAAATTATGGTTACCTTCTTTTTCCAGACAAGCTTCGCATTTCCAAGTCGATTTCCAGTTTTCCTGCTTATGTTCCTCATATTTACATAGTTATATATCCAAATGTACATAATGTATGTACATAAATATGTTAAAAGGTTGTACATAGATTTTCACCAGTCCCGCGAAGCTCCACTTCCATTTTGGCATAGAAAATACATAAACTCGCCTCTGAAACAATGAAAATTAAAAATTATTAATAACATAATAATACGATCACCTAATTTACATATATTAGTTAGTCAATGTTTAACAGTTTCTAAAAATAAAAGCAATTTGTGAATGGAAATTTACTGAAGTGGCGCCAAAACTGTGAATGTAACCCGAAAGGCAAAAGCAAAACGAAAAACGGACTTTGTATCGCAGGTGGGAAAGAGATGACTATAGTTTCAAATAATATTCCTTCCGAAGATCTCCCCCTCCCAGTTTTTTCTTCTCTCCTCTTTACCGACGCTTTTAAATCAGTTTAAACTAAAGTTAATGCTAGGTAGAATCACAATTAATATCTTCTTTAACAATATCAATGCTTAGGCACTCGTATATATTTATGTACATATGTACATATTGATTTGCATTTGCTTTTGCATATCTATGTACATATGTACATCCATATATGCAGATGCTCACACACACACACTTTCACTTATAACGCGGAGTTATTTTAACTTTTAGGCCTAAAAAGTTCACAAGAAACATTATTTATAAATTACACAAAACTTAAAACACTGCCCTACGATCACTTTTTATGCACAATTTTTATATTTTTTTTAACACTTCTGAGCATCAGCAACAAAATGTGCATCTTACCTAGACGGGCGACTCGGTTAGACTGAAAACTGTTCTACCAAAAACGTAGTTTGGATAGAGCGGATGGCGGCAGCGCTGCAACGATCGTCGTTTTGCTTCTCCTCTTTCCTGTTGTTCTTACTTCTCTGTTAAAGCATTTGAAATGTTTTAAGATAAATAAATATTAAATAACACCGTAAATCGAAGGAAGAGTGGATAAATATCATAAAATAATAAATAATTTGAATGTTATAGATCAGACAATAATAGATGTGGAATATTATGGTTGAGAAGTGAAAATTAAACTATTATACTAGCATAAGAACTCGCATAACAAGACGCTACTATGTTAGCCAGGGCTGTTAATTTCAAAATAAACATGTTAATAGCAAAAAGTGCTATATGCAATTAGGTATAGAGCCACCTGTTGGTCGTAGTTTAATGAAATAAACTAAAATTTTTAATTTTTAAAGAAAACTTGTAGAAATTTATACTTAAATAATTTTAGAGCTGATAAAAACTAGAATTTATTGACATAAATAAGAGTTTAATAAAAAGTTAGCCAATATATTCTTAATATTTAATATTAAATTAACACCCCATTTTCTCTCAGTGCTGGTAACTTAAAATTATGGCGCGTTTTGTAACCAGCAAAAGGCCAAAACGAGTTTCGTCTTTCGCTTTGCTTGTTTTTGTTGCGGCTTCTGCTTTTTTCGCCCCGCCCCTTCATTTCCGTTTCCCCTTTTCCGACATTTTGGACAGCCATTGTGGGGCTGTCTCTGTGTGTGTGAGTGAGTGTGCCTAAGTGTGTGTGAGCGTGCTGAACGAGCCCTTTCAATGCTCGATGCTCACGCACTTGCACATATTAATTAAAAAGTTCAGGGTCAGGCCAGGCGAGCGACAGACATCAGCTGGCCGAACAAGGACCAAAAAATCTAAAAAAAAATTCAAAAAAAAAATGAAAGTAAATTTTGGCCAAAAAGGGCGAAGATAGGGCCAAAAGAGGAGGTGTACGCAGGCCTGACCCCGGCAGGTTTTAGTCCAAAACATTTTTGTTTTGCTGCTGCATAATTTGTTTACTCTTTTGGTTGAGTTATGGGACTCGCATTTTGATTCCCTGTATTATAAACACTAATTTTAGAGAGTTTTTTATGCATTTTAATTATTTTTTAATGATTTTTTGCTACATTTTAGATTAAATCTACATAAAATAGCCAATTTTCCAAATGAGGTTTTGGTGAATTATAGAAAAAATCTTCTTAAAAAAGTTGTTTTTGATCACCTTTGGCCTAAAAATATATTAAAACTCCTTAAAAAACTAAAACTTTTTGCTTAGGAATAGATTAAAAATCAAAAAAAAGACAAAATACTTCTCGATTAAAGAATTTAATAGGAAATTCCAACAAATTTAAATTAATAAGATTAATTTCTTAAAGTTACTACTATTATCTATGAATTTAAGCTTAAAAAACGCATTTCTAGGCCTACTTTAACCAAAGAAAAGTTCAAAATCTTGTTTAATAACAATAACAATTACCTAAAAGTAACCCTAACAGTCGCTACTAAAAGTAATTTTCTGGAAAAAGCTTGTTAAACACTAGTTGACTTGCCATTTATCAGGAACCAGAGGACACCGGCAGGACTTTCCCCGAAAACGAAAGATGAAAACAAAAGCGAGAGACACACGTAGACACTCCTGGGGGGGAAAGGAGAAGAAGGAAAATAGGGGGAGGGGGTGGGTAAATCCAAGGGGAAAGTCCTTGCGGGTCACGGAAACTGTGCGTAACTATAATTAATTTCATTTTAGACTGGTTAGCAAATAAACGAGCAAACGATGCGGTTCGCTCTCGCTGGCTGGCTGCTTGTTTAGCTCTCCTCACACCTACTCTGAAAACGGGTAGGAAAAGCCAAACGGAAAAACCCCACCCACTCATAGCAACAACAACAACTACACAGATCGGCTCGTTTTTGGGCAGTTGAGACACTATTTTTGACATCGTCCTTGTTGCCATGTTGTTGGCTTTGCACTTTCCCAGCACTTGACTGCCGCCCAACTTTTTGGTCATGTTTCAGGGGGGGGACGGGGGACAAGTCACCCATCATAAGCACTACCACCCACTCGTAGTATAGTATAACTGTTGCTCATGTTGTGGGACTTTGATTTCGAGCGTTGAAGTCCTTTGAAGGACCTAAAGCTCAACCCTTATCAAAAATTCAACAGCATGATTTTATATCACAAACTTCTCTCCCTTACTCCTGCCCAGAAAAATTATTGATTCAACTTGAATGCCAAATCATTCCAGGGTTTTCCTCAACCCCCTCTTTCTCGCTCTTTCTTCTGGCCAACCAGAAAAAGTTGATGCCACAGCCTAATCGCCTGGAACTCATTAACTTTCCTTGGCTGCAAATATTTTGTTTAACTTTGCTAGTCAGTGCTTGGAAATGATTTCGTTTTTTTGGCCTTTTCCCTGAGGCATAATTAGCAGGGGCTAAGACAGCTTTAAAGGGGTTTTATTTTAGTTTAAGATTGTTGGGAATGTTTTTTAAACTTTTCTATTGGAAAGTGAAGTTGAGTTATGAAAATGAATCTAATTTGATATGAGATATGAGAGATAATGAGGGTAGTTCTAGCTTAAATCTGGAAAATTCTTAAAACTAAATCAATTTTCTTTTGGTATTAAAATAATATTATAGTTTACCAGTTAAAAAGGAAAACCTAACAACTTTGATATATAAATATAAATTTTATAAAAATATTTTTGCATCTCTTTTGGACTGACATTTGAGATGAAAACTTTTTAGCTAAAAACTTTAACTTAACAAAGAGAAAAGGAAAAATAAGCGAATGAAGTATAAATTTCGCTTACTAAGTCTCAAAAGAGTTTGTCTAAAACCTATCTTAAAGATGAAAAGTCTTTAAAGAGATAGATATGTGTTACTTTAAACCAATTTACTTAAATACAAATTATAGATTTTTGTTAAATTTCCAAGATAAAAGATTGAAAAAATTACAAAAACTGCCCCTTGAATATCTCAACTTAAACTTAACAAAATTCCAAAAATTCCTCCAACTCTAACTTAATAAATTCCTATTAAAATCGTCTAAAATATAGAAAAATATAGTGACTGGCCTGACCTTGCTTAAATAACAAATAAAAATGCCAGAGCCCGTGATCCGAAAGTACGCCACAGTTGGTTGGGCCATAAGTCATCCCGAGATGATTCCATCAAATATGCATGGCCCATCATCATCATCATCATTGGATCCCGACCAGGGCCGAGCTGTCCATTTGAATTATGCATGCATAGAGAGAGAGAGAGAGAAAGAGAGAGTGAGTGAGCAGTATGGGGAAAAGCTGGTTAGAGAAAAGCCGAGATGAGCTCGGTAAGGGAAAGTAAAAAGGGGTTGTTGTCAGCGCCCATGAAAGCGCAGCATGGCGTCTGCTAAGGAAATTAGATTTCCTAGCAACAATGCCCCCTTGGTGTGTTTGCCTATGTGTGTGTGTGTGTTAGCCAGTTGGACAAAACGGCTTAAGTGTTTTTGCCAGCGCCTTTTCACCCGATTTGCATAATGGTCGCCGCGGTTGCCTGAAAAGTATGCTACAACTTTTTATCAACTTTGTCAGCGGAAATTATGCTCAGCATGTCGTTGTTGGTCTATGTGTGTGTGTGTGTGTGTTGGTATTACACAGCACTATACCTAACACATACAGACACACAGGTCAGTTACGGTTCAATATCGCCGCAAATGATATATCAGCGAATGGCGGCCCCTATAAAACTCACTTTAATTATTTATTTATTCAAATGCCTGACCGGGCTTCTCTAAGCCGAAAAGCCTTTTACAAAGGCTGCTGGAAAAGTGGAAAAACCAAAACGGGAAGGGGCTTAAAACATAGCTTCAAGGAAAGAGAAGGGACAAGATGAAAGGGGAAAACAGCAGCAGCAGCAGGAGCAAAGGCAAACCCAAAGGCAGAGGAAAAGCATTTTTCCCAACTTTCTCCAAAACGTTTCCTGCTAGAAATTGAAAGTGGCACGCGCAAATTACTTAATCCTACTTTTCAAGTACTTACTGTACATATATTTACAGTAAAGTCTTGATAAGAAGAAACAGTAAGTTTGTAAATCTACGAGAAATGTAACTTCTAAGATCAAAACCAAAAACAAAAGGAAAACGTTTAAAACTTAACAAGCAGTTCAGTCGAGAGACTTTCTTCTCTTCAGAGTGTTTACTGTTTATATATAAACATACAGTATATATACAGCAGAATGGGGCGGGTAAATGCCTACACGTACTTTCTGGTCCTTTGATCTAATTTACCGAGCATTTTCAGGTATTCCAACTTTGAATGCCAAAAACGAAACCCAAGATGACAACAGCAACAAAAATGCCCAAAAAAAATCCAAAAAAGTATGTAAACCTTAAACGAAGACGTAAATGAAAATGAAAATGAAAATGTTAAATGAAAATGGCCCCAAGAGCCGTCAGGCTAGAGCTTTCACGTGTCTCCAGTGAGTCCTGGCAGTTAATCAATGAATAGCCGCCGCACCCTGAACTGTCCCCTGTCCCCTCTCTCATCCGCATCTTGGCCACCTGACTTGGTCTTTGGGTCCTTAGAGAAGCTCAGCATCTACTACCCCCTCTCTCGTGAACTTTTAGAATGCTGGACAGGCAGGAACCACTAGGACTCCCTCGCAATTACATCAAAAGGAAAACTGTTGGCAAAGAGCCCAAGTAATATTTCAAGGGGGCTGGACGACAGACGCTCTAAAATTAACTAAATAGCAGTCCCGGCAGGAGAGGACACAACCCCAAAAAAAAAAAAAGAAATACAAGAAAATACAACCACCCACCCAGGAAAAACCCACCCCACAAGGACATGAAAAGTCACTTAGAAGACTGGGAATCAAAAGGAAAGACGGCCAATGTCCGCCAGGTGCCAACGTCCAAAATGCTTGCTGGCTTGTTTTTCTATTTTTTCTATTTTTTTGTATATTCCTACGAATTGCATTTTATTGCCAGGACAACAGTTCACAAAAAAATAGAAGGAAAAATGAAGGGAAAACCTCTGAATGGAACCACAAACCATGGCAAACGTAAAATGTTTTCAGCATTTAACTAAATTGTTTCATTTAGCGCTGGAACAAAGTGGAAAAACTGAGGGAAAATTAAAGGGAAATTTGGTATTTCACTAGCAACAGCAGCAGCAGCAGCAGAGAGGGGAGATAAATGAGTTCTCAAACATAATACAGATTAATGGAGTCTGGGGATTTGGTTCATCAAAGCTAGCAGAAGTTGTCGCGTTTGTCCTATGGCTGTGGGGATTTAGATATCATCTGGAAAGATTATGGAAATTATTACTAAATATTTAACCTAAAATAAGATTTCTGCTGACTGCTGAGTGATTTTTAAAGGAAGTAAGTTATGTTTTTATATAAATTTCTATCAAAATTTGATTAAAATCTTGAATTTTACTTGATTTGCCGAACAATTTTGTCCTTTGAAATGTTTTAATCCTAATGTCTTAATCCAAAATCAAATCAAAATATTGACAAGATTTCGCTTTTCTCAGCAAGACTAACTTATTAAATCACTCAAACTTTCAGCAAAAAAACTTAAAAGCCAACAAAATGTCTCGGGACTTACGTTTGTAAATTAAATATGAAACCTTGGCATAAACTTTTAATTAGCCAGCAGTGTTGAGTAGCTTTTTAAGGAGTCTTCCACCTGGTGCAAGTTTATTAAGTTTTGCAGAAAATTGCATTCGGTTAGAGTCGACGATGTCTGCGGGTAAACTGCGCAAGTGGCTGCCAGCCAGTTAAGTTTTTCCTCCCAGTGTGATTGGAAACGTAACTCGGAGGTGAAACAAATGCTGCCTCTCAATTTTCACGTTTTTTTCCACCGCCTCCTTTGCTTGCCCCAATGACCAAGACCAACTCTCCATTTCCTGGTAGGTGGCTCCGTGTCCGGGTACAGCTGCTCCGGCTTAGCCGCAAACCTGGACTGGACCGAAGGACATCTGGAAAAAGTGGGAAAATTGAGTTGAAAATTGTTCGTGGCACACACACTTCACAGGCAAACGCAAATTGACAGCTGTCAATCAACTGGTCGCCCACTTGAGCCTCCTTCTCCACTGCCAGGTGCCATCACCTCCATTCTCCCTTTCAGATGACGATGATGATGATGATGATGATGGTGATGAGGAGTCCGTCTCCTGGAGGATAAAGTGTCGGCGGAGCAGCAACAGCAGCAGCAAATTGCCAACTGCTGTTGTGCACTTCAAATTGATTAAGCCCTGGGCGGAACTTTTCGCAACTTTGAAAATTCGTAGAGCCAAAAATTCAGATGGCCAAAATGCACTCGGGAAAAGTACTGAAAATAGTTGGAAAATATCGGGAAATAAGTTAAGTTACAGTTGTTTTAAGGGAAAATCTGATTTAAACAAAATTTTAGTTTGAATTTTAAGAAGAAATTTCGAAAACTTTTTCCCATAACTTCCCTGAAAAGCCAACCAATTAAATGTTTTAAAAATAGCAAAAAAAAACTACTTGAAATTCCGACCCTAAGCCTAAGGAATTCCCCCCTTTTAATGGCTGTACAAACAAAACGGTTAATTAGAAACCATCGAGCCTTGGAAATTCCGGAAAATGAAACATCATCTTGTCACTCAAAAAGCGTACAAATTGCACAGCTTCAGATCTTCAATCGAAATGTGTGTACTTATTGGGGTTCAAAATTGCTTTTCGCCCCCCCGCATTTTCCACATTTTCCACTTGCCCGCAGAGAGCTGAGAGGGAAAAAGTGCTGGGAAACTTTGGTGCTTTGGAACTACTTTGGTCAAGTGTTTCATTGACTGGGAATGAGAGAGAGAGGGGATGGTTGGGTGGGGGCAACTTGAGCTGGGACTTTTATGAACCTGCCACACACTCGACAACTTCCGGTGCGGTGTCTATGTCCTTGCAACACATACGTAGTTACACAGTCCTGCCGTCTGGCAGTTATTAAGTTTATGGCCATAAACTTGCGGCCAAATAAGTTGATACTCCATTTTGATTGCCCCGCCTTTGAGCCTTAATTCATCTGGAATTCCAGGTCTGGTCTGGTCGGTTTCCATTTGGCATCTGGCTGAAGTGCAGCCATCTGGTGGCCAGAAAATCAACTACATTTGTTTTTTTCCTCAGGGGAAAAAACAAAGAAGAAAGCTTAAGTACAGTGTAAAAGGTGAAAATGTATGATGAAAATGGGTTATATTTTGGAAAATTAAGATCGGAATATGTTTTAGATATTTGGTAGTTCTATAGAACTTTCTTTATGGTCTATACATCGAAGCTAAAGGTCGTTTTCAAACATAGTAGTAGAAAAAGAAACCGAATTATCAAAAATATTACAAAATTCCTCCCATTAATCTAGAATCTATGCCATTTTTCCTTAGTGTACTCCCACCTTGCCGCAGCGCAATTCAATGTGCAAAAGTTCTCATGTCTGAACAGCAAAAATAAAGTAAATTAAATTGAATTATTTGTGCATTATTGACGAGCCAAATCGAAGTCTCTACTTACAGTTTTGGGCTTTTAAGTATCAGCTTAAATTGTGGCAAATTTTCGGGAAATCAAACTTGTGGTTTCTTATATTTACGCAGAAATAAATACAAAATAAACGTAGTTGCCCTTCGATATTCTTGAAATGATTTCCCAGGCCAACAGTGCGTATGCTTGATTTAGGCAATTAAAATGCAAAAAAGCATTAAGGAAAAGTACAAGACATGAGTGTAAAATCAATAAAGGGTGAAGTAAAAAAACATTTTTGAGATGAGAAACGAAAGGGGAAATAGTTCTTAAGAAAAAAGCAAATTAAAGGCTTTGAAAGGGATTTTAAGTCTACTTTTTTTTAACTTCATGCCTTGGCCAAACATTTTTTAGTTTATTAAGTTAAGTTCTTAGTTCTTTTTTATATAATTTGATGTATTATTTATATAATTACTATAATATAACATATAAATAACCAGTTACCAAGCAAATATTTCACAAACTACTATGTTATATGACCCCCCCGAATATTTATACCCTGTAGTTTTTGACCCATTTAGTAAATCCCAAGAACCTTTTGTAAATTGAGATTTACCCAGCCATTCGATAAATATTTATATAACAAAAAACCCCCATCCAATGCGTTTTAAACCACCAAAAACTATTTTCTTCGATTTTTTTCCAGTGTATCTCTGTGTCTCTGTGTGTGTAGCAAAAATAAAATAAAAACCCCCCTCCAAAAAACAAACCCAAAAGCCCCCAAAAATATATATATATATATATATGTATAACCAAGATTACAAAATACAGACTATAAATCACCGCACTTTCTAGCTAGCCGGCTAGCTGGAAAACACTGAAAGAAAAAACGCTTGCAATTCGAGTAAGAAACGTAAATAAGAAACCAAGAAGAACAAGGAGGAAGAAGAAGAAGAAGAAGAAGGGCCGCGGAGGGAGCGGCCAGGAGTTGATAAAAAGGATACCGCTCAGTTTCGAGGATCGGCGGGCGCTGCCAAAGAAACCAGAACATGCGCCATGTCAAAACTGCGGCATTACCGGTCCATGGATCAGCCCTGCAGCAGCACCTGCGTGGTCATACGCAAAAAGTTAGAAAATCTTTAAAAAAAAAACAAAAAAACTAAAAACAAAAAAACGCCAACCTGACCTCAAAAATCAGAAAAATGCGCTTTCACTTTTCCACTGAAAAAAGCTTTCCTCTACTCCTACGCTTTTCCTCTATAATATTTGCACTAAAAACTAAACTAAAAGCAAAGGAAAGCCAGGACTCTTACCTTAGAGCTTTCATATCCTTGCAACTTTCTTCACCGCATGCCACACACACCATACACACGCAGCTTTTCCAAAACTTTTCCAGCTTTTCATTTTGTTTTTCGTTTTTTTTGAGAAAAACTTTGAGCCTTTTGGGCTTTTTTGCATGTCCACAGGTGGGAAGCTCTTTTCCTTGAGCGAAAAGCTTTTCCTTTTAGCCAGCCAAACAGTCCGATCCAAAAATAACACCTGCCATTCAGGCTTTTCTTCTTCTCCGCATGAATCTGTCCAATCTTCAAATTTTCCCAATTTTTCTCTCTACTTTGTTAACTTTTTTAACTGCATGGAAACTTTCTAGGTATTAATTTTATTTTTTTTTTTTTTAAATATATTTTTCAATTTTACTAACCTGGCTTTTGTATATTTTCAGGACTATGACAGCCATTTGCTTCGTGTGCAACCTGCCCATCATGTCGCACCAAGTGGGTTTGGTGTGGCAAGGAGGCAACGGCTGGGACGATCTTGTGCGCGAACAGGTGGGTTTCAAATCTAAAATATATAATATATAAATTATAAGCATTAAAACAAAACCCAAAAGTGTTTAATGCAAGCTAAATTGCAATCTAAAAATAGTTTGAATTACCTGGAATTTGCTCGTGGCCTTGAAAACGCGCCTGACCTTTGCTTTGTCTAATGCAGAAGTGGACAATCAAATCATAGGGCTCCCGTAGGCATCCAAGGTCATTCGAAATTAATCAAAGTGCACAAATTTAAATATAAATAAAGATAATAATAAACACAAACAACCGTCTTCGTCAAGCTAAATTATTATACTGAAGTAACAGAAGTAGTTATACGCACCATATAACAAATATAACAAAAACATTGGGACAGTAAAGAACAAATATAACAGTTTTTCTTATTGCCTGTTCCTTTTTCGTTAGCGGATCGCTCTTGCAAATTGTTTTTGTAAAGTGGTACACAGAGATAAGACTGAGCAAAAGTCCCGTTAGATTTGCTGCGCTTTTAGGCGTTTCTTGTCTGCACAGTGGAGCTGCACTCTTGTAATATTTGGTTAAAATCAATATAAAAATTTATTCTAAAAATGTGTTTAAAAGTTTTTAATTGTAGTATATATATCGAAAATAAACTTTGAATTGTTTTTAATATAATTCAATAATTCAAATTCAAAAAATTTAACTAAGAAAGACCCACTGTAACTTTTGAATGAGTTGTAAAGTGTACGGTAAATTCTACGTTAGCTAAAAGTATACTATCGTCATCCTTTTCTGTATGCACATATAACTTGCTCGCTCATACTACTAGATCAGTATACGAGAAGCGTCATTCGTCGTTTTGAATTTATAGGCGTCGGTTGTGTTTTCTAAGTGACAGTTTATTTTATTTTATTCTTTTAAATCAATGCAAATCTTAAACTTATGGAATACATTGCTTTCAGCTGGAAGAGTCCACCATCCGGCAGCGTCTGGGTGGACGGCGAGACTCGGCTGCGCAGATCACCACACCGCCGAGCACCTCGCCGCCACCGGGCTTGCAGCGGCGGCGGCGCAGCTCGCTGGCCCAGCTAACAGACATTCTGCGCGAGTGGAGCGGCGGCACCAAGCAGCAGCAACAGCATCAGCAACAACAGCAGCATCAACTGCAGCAGGCTTCCCGCTCCAAGGCGCAGCTCAATCGCCGCGAGACGTTGGCGGACTTGGCACGCAGTCTGCCGTGGCGCACATCAACCACGACGGACGCCAGCACAGGGGCAGGTGGTTCGAGCGGTGGCGCCTGCACCACCTACATGGCGCCACGCAAGCGGCGGGAGTCTTCTGCGGATTCGGGCATCCGGAGCATGAGATCGCGACGAGATTCAAACACCGCGGAGTTTGTGAGGCATTGGAATCGCCGCGAAAGCGGAGCAGTTGAGGAGCAGCCCATAGTCTCAGTGCCCGTCGTCGTTGAGTGTTCTAAAAGCGTGAGTATGGGGGAAAATGAAAGATCTATTGGTCACAAAAGGTCGCCTAAATGCACTAAAAACGTTCAACATTTTTTAAGTATTATCCAAAAGAGTGCATTTGCTGGACCTAGAACCATCTACACATTTGACTCTACCTTGACCACCACCTTGATCCCTAACCCTTGGCGCTGTTCTCTCTCTCTCTCCAACCACTTTATTCCAAACCAAACCACTGAACCAACCAAACCACCAGGCATCCCGGCGCGGATCTGGTGAGAGCTACCTGTCTGGCAGTCGGCGCGATAGCAACGTGGCTGGTCGGGTCACCACACCACCGCCGCCTGGCAAATATCAGATGGCTAAGAAACGCGACTCCCTGGCCGCGCCAGAATTCCCCAATTTCCGCCAGGAGCAGCGCCCGTCCACCAGTTCCGCCGGCTCCTGTTCGGACCACTCCATGCCCCTGATATCGACGCATTCAAGCACTCACTACCTGGCTCACCAGCAGGTGGACTCCGCCTGTCAAGCTCTTCCACCGCCGACGATCATCACCAGCTCTGTAACGCCGCCGGCAACGAGTCCAACGGCGCCCAAGGGGCGTCGGGACTCGCAGACGCAGTGCGGTCGTGTGAATCGACGAGATTCAAAGGCAGGCGTCAGCCCAGAACGAGCGCCGCGCCTTCAACGGCTGCAGCGGCAGGCTACCGCCTTCGATGAGGGCTGCCTGCCGGGCGGCAGTAGGCGTGGCTCACAACCCGCCCTCAGTCCAGATCCACCCGATGACTGTGAGCGGCGTACTTCCCGACGGGATTCCCTGTCGCCGGATAGCGCCTCACGTGGCGGTCGTCGGGATTCGAGGACACATCTCTCGCCGGATCGATCTCATGAACGGGATGGCAGTCCAAGGCGACACACGCTGCGTAGGCAGAGCAGTTCGGCGGCCAGATCGCCCAGATCACCGGACTCCAATAGCTGCTGCTCCTCCAGGGATCCCAGTCCCTGCTCGAGACCACAAACACAGACCACTGTGGAGCAAAACCAACGGCCTGCTATAAGGAGGCAGTCCACTACAGAGGAGATCCTTATTGCCCGAGGATTCCGACGGCAGTCGACCACCGAGGAGATGATCCGCTGCAGGAATTTTCGAAGACAGAGCTCCCAGAGCGACGACGTCTGTCGGTGAGTGGTGTTTACTTGGCTATTGTCATGTTATGTTATCATTTAGAAAAGAATTCATTATTTTTTACACGAATGAAGGTAAGAAATGTAAATTTCTTAATTAAAATAAGTTTTATGTATATTAGATACTAATTAACTCCCTAATCCCCAGCTATCGTGGCAGACGTGACTCTTCGGCGCAGATAATTGATGGAACCATCGGCACCATGACTGTGGAGACAACCAGTACTTTCTTCGACTCCAGCACCCAGACAGGTGAGTCTTTTTGAATTCCTATGTAAGCAATTCCTTGGTCCTGCCAACTCGATGCAGAGCTTTTAGCAAAAGTTTAGTTTGACCTGTAAAGCTTCTGAGCTTTTGGCATTTTCCTGTGGTTGTTGGGTTGAAAGCTTCACTCAGCTGTTTAACGCCATAACAGCTGTTCAGTGGCAGGGACCTGTCCACTCGGCATTCAACTGGCATCCTTTTTTTTTTTTCCTATGATTTGGCGTTCATCGAGAATGCCATTCAGTTGGTGTTGAAGTCGCAGACGTGCCACAAGCACCGCAGCAGCCAGTCGAAAGAAAAAAGAAAATCGCAACCGGCGAATTAAGTCAGAAAAAATTAGAAACCATACGTAGAAAGTAAATACAAACAGAAAAAACATAACTGAAATTTAGAAGTGCGGCAAAAAGTATGCTACGAATTTTGGCAAACTATCGTTAAGCTCGCCATTGCGCATAAGTGGCTGAGTGTGTGTGTGTGTGTGTTCGTGTGCGTTGGCTGACTGCGTGTGTGTTGGTGTAGCTGTGCGTCTTTGTGTATATTTTTCATATCCTGCCTTGTATATTTTCGTTTAATTTTTTTTTTTTGCTGTGCGTGCGTTTGTGTGTGTGCGCGCGCGGTGTGTGAACACTTTTGTTTGCTTGTTGCAAACTGCATTTGCAACTGCTACATCGCAGCATCGCATTGCAGCATCCTCCGAATAAACAACAAAACAACAGCAGCGACGTGGCCGAGTACGTCGATGTCGTCGGCGGCAGCAGCGGCGCAGGCGGTGGCAGCGGCAGCGTCGGCGGCGGCGTCGTTGCTGGTGGTGGTGGCGGTGGTGGTGCTACTACCGCTAACGTTCCCGCTCCGCTGCGCAGTGGCCGTCGGCAGCCGTCTAGCAGCAGTGCCAGCAGCAGCAGCAATCGCAGTCGCAGCGGTCTGTATATTTTCTATAATTTCCTTTATGGGGCATGCCACAAGCAAAAAAGAAAATAGATATAGATATACGGAATTTGGGGGCAGGCCAACTCTTACTTGTTGCATGTGAATGTGGGCGAGTGCCAAGGCTTTCTAGTGCCAAGTTCAGTAAGCCAAATAAGCGTGGACTTTACAAATGTTTTTCCTTCAAAGAAAATATCTTCTGTGGGTCAATTTTTAAGTAATTTTCCTGAAAATTATTCGAGTTACTTACTTAAAATTGTAGAGATTTCCATTTCCCTTTACATTTTCGCTATTTACAGCGATTTTATTGTCTGGCATTTAAGAATCGTTGAGAAGCGCAATTTTCCTTCAATTTTCCAAGAGTTTTGGCAATTGAATGCTGAAAGAAGTTTTTGCCTTTTTGGCAGCCGCACAAGGAGCCACGCCTCCACATAGCCTTGTACTTGTCCACCCACCGAATGGCTTTTAATGAATGAAAGTGCACCGTCTGCATGCGAATGTGTGTGTTTGTGTGTGTTTCTCCTTGCCTTAGTATCTGTGACTATCTGTGTGACAGTCAGGAAATGAATGAGTGCTGACTTTTCCCTCCCTGTCTTTCACCATTCTGTCTCTATCTATCGTTATATCTATGTTATCTATCCATCTCTCTCCTTCTTGCTGTATGTTATGAATGAAATGCGAATCGAGTTTGATACTGATGCAGCAGCAGCAGCAGCAACATTTCCCATTTTGCCACTTAACCATTTCCCCCTACCACGCCTTCTCTTCGCCCACATCCCATTGGCGCATTTTGCCGCAGCTGGCGCGGGTGCAACAAGTTTTCCTTCGCGATGCCCAGCGAAAAACTTTGGTCGCATTGAAATGCAAAATTTATTGATTAAACTTGTTGCCAGCAGACGGGGCGACATTCAAAGCCAATCGAATGGTGGCGGCTGCACTTGGCCAGAGGAGCCAGCCAGGGGCATTGCAGCACTCTCGAGGTCATGGTTGAAAAATAGTTACTGCTTAGGAATTATTAAAGAGGTTTAGTAGTGAAAAGAAAAGTGTTAGGTGACTTATGTAGTTTCTAGATTTTTAGGTTTTTAACTGGTTTATAAGCTGGTAGTTCCCGTGTGGATCGCCAATCAAGCGCAATTGGTGTCCTGAAAAGGATTTACGGCAAGTGGCGGCTGCTGCTGCTGCTGCTCCTGCTACATGTCCTGCTGTCCTCTGCTCGCTCACTAATTAATATTGAGTGTGAGCTCTGCAGGAGGAAAACTCTCAAGCACTTGATTTAATTTAAGCAATTAGTTCGTGCCTTGGTTTTCTTACAGCCAATCCAGGCCAGTGATTTCATTAGAATAACTTTTTGAAAACCAAAATATATATATATAGTCTAGACCAATTAAGGTAATTCCAAAAGTACAGGCAATCCATTAAGCTGGTAGCTCATCAAAAAAGCTTATCAATTGGTGGATTTTAGTCCAATTAGTATCTCCAACTGGCCATCGATTACATTAATTTTTATAATTGCATTTTTACGATACACACGAAGGTCAGAGGGAGCTGGTTAGTTGGCGGGTCACGAAATTAATGTTAATTTATGGGAGAACAAAGGAAAAAGAGGACAATTTTATTACCAAATTTTGGATCGATGAAAAAGTGGCAAACAATAATGTTGGCTGTCCCATCCAAAAATCCCCCAAAAATCACATTTTTATGAACTTCTTTTTTAGATCGAAATTTAATGGTGTAGAAAGTGGGAGGCGATTGGTTTTTCGACTGTTTTTATTTTGTAGTAAACAGCTTTTCATGAAATTAGTGTCAGATTGGTTTTTATTTATTGGTATTTGTTATTATTACTTTAGTAAGTTTAAGGGGATTCCAAATCATTAATTTCTGGCGTTTTAAATTCACTAAAAATGACATTAAAAGTCATTTAATTTGTTAATATTATTAGTTAACTATTATGGACATTATTTTCAATACTATATCTATAGCAGCTCTCTTCTTGCTTACATTTTCCAAATTGAAAACATCTGTAGAACAATCTTAATGGCCATGAAACGCACTGTCTTATAGCTTCTACCTTTCGCTTGGGTCAACAACTTTGGCTATTTTGCTCATTTATATTTTTATGAACCCATCAATAATGGCCAAAAGGAAAGAATTGTTTGGCTTCTAATTGATTGGCCGTAAAAGATTGATTAAAGTTTCGCGTAGAAGGTCAGGAAAACAAGATGTATACATGTGTATGTGTTTGTGAGTCGCGAAAAAGTGTTGCATACAACACAGGGCAATATCCCACCAAAAATAAATATAAGAAAAGAAAGAATAGGGGGGTGGGGGAGGTGGTTGGCTATTTGCGATTCCTTGATTGATGGGCGGCTGATTGATGGGCTGACCTAATGGCCGTGTGCTGCTTCTCTCATAAAACAGTTCGTAATCGAAGGAATTAGCAGCTGACGCCGCCACTGCTGCTGCTGCTCCCAAATCGATTCGGAAAAACTCAAAAACTGAAAAGTTTTCAAATCACCCAAAGGCCATAAAATGCAAATTGTTATTTGGTAGAAGGGAAGAAAAGAAAGAGGGCTGGCTGGCTGGCTGGCTGAAAATAAAAATACTAAAGGACCTGCCATCGATGATGGACTTGCCACCTGAATTGCCTCCCCGCCCCTCTAGATGGGGCGTGGCCAGGAACAACAACAACAACACGGCCACAAATGTATAATGCCATTAACAGCTGTCACTTTCGGGGCTGTTGAAATATTTGACAGTCAAACACGAGTGTCGCATAAAAAGTGGCAAAAAGAAAATGTTCGGAAAATAACAAGAGGAGACCATAAACCGACAAAGGCGAAGGAGGCCATAGGAACGATAATAATAATAATAATAATAATAATATTGAGACAGCATTTTAGTTTCGTGGTAATGGCTCGCGTTTATTTGCCAAACAAGATGGTTGTCAATTGTTGTTGTTCCTTCGCCGTCTGTTCCTTGTTATATCTCTCCTCTCCCTCGCTTTCTCATCCCCCACTTTCTCTTTTCTGGCTTTTATATATATATAAAGATATAAAGATATATATAAGCGAGTATGTTTGGTTGTCTGAGCAGTAACCAAATTGCGTAGCCGACTGTTGGCTGGCTGGCTGTTGCCTTTCGTCAATCATACGCACCGTTGTACGCATTACAACCCCCTGGACACCACACAGGCTATAAGTCAGCCTAATGCCGCAGGAAATCAATATCGCCATCGCCTAAGAAAAGCTTCATAGTAATATGAGTTAGAGGGGTGCTGAAACTCTGGGAAAGCTCTGGTGGCCTGGCTGCTATTAAGGGTTAGGATGTGGGTTTTTCTGGGGGTGTTAACTGTCAGCTAGTCCACCAACTCGCTCAATCAGCAGCCAATGATAAGTTATTAATCCATCGAAGTGGGTCACAAAACTGGTAATAAATATTATATTTTCATCTATCACCCAGCAGTATTGACAAATAGAAACAATTATTGCCTGGCTATTAATATAATCACAAGAATTTAGTGTAAAGATGATCTTTAAGTAGCTCCTTGAGAAAATTCAAGATCTTAAGGGGGGTTCTTTAACTAACTCATTTAGCCAATTCCATTAAGAAACCTAACATTAATGGGATGTTCTTACTAAAAATGAAAAAAAAAATCCTTCTAACCACAACCCCTTTTGCCTTTGCCATTGCACCTATGATATCGGCCATTTCCTTGGCCTTTTCTTGTGGCTATTTTCATAAAATCAAATTAACACACAAAACTCGAAGCACGCAAAGGCTGGAAGGAAAGAACAGAAGAAAGAAGTACAAGGAAGGCGGCCGCCTCAATGCTGCTTCGCACTAATTGAAGTGAGGTGAGGTGAGGTAGTGGGTAGTGGGTGGTGGTGGTGATGGGTTATAGCTGTTGGCCAGACAGAATGTTTGACTTTGGCTCAATTAACACCGCACACAGAATGGTCGACTCATAGATTCATTAAAATACAGCAAACAAGGCTGGACAAGGCTGAAGCTAGCTCCCTTTCTACCTCTTAACTATACTGCGTATAGTATGGCCACACCCACAC